GGAGTTAGGAGGGGTAGAGGTAGACCTAGATTAGATTACTGTTCGCAAATAGTTAAGGATGTGGGCTGTTCTAGTTTTAGGGAAATGCGAAGTTTAGCTCAGGATAGGAAAGAGTGGAGGTACGTGTCCAACCAGTCTTAGGACTGACGACCTTATGATGATGATATAATTTATTTTAAAGTTTAAATATTGAATTATTGGTCTATTTTATGAAGGTAAAATAAATTAAAATCTAAACTTTCGCTGGAATATAACAGTAGCTACTGTTTACTTAATAAATTATTAGTGCAATTACTTAGTGAAAACCTAACATAATTGACGAACTAAAATTTTAATTTCTAACGTTTCAGCGAACGCGTTTTAAATGGTTTGCATATTTTATTGGTCTATCAATTATTATCACCTCAAACGTCCAATCAATGGCTCGTGGCAGTGCTATATAAAACGTTTACCTAAATTGAGTTTTGCATTTTAATATGATAAGTTTTCAATTGTTTTATGATACAATGTAGCATTTCCAACAAAAAAAAAGTCGCGCCGGAGAAAATATAAATTTCTTTTCCGATGATAAATCACAAACGATATTTTGTTGGTAAACTTACTCGTTGGTATCTGCTTGGAAAATGCTGGATGTGATTTGTGTAACTTAGTATAAGTAAATATAAGTAAACATAAAATGACTAAGTGTGTTTGAAGCTGTCTCCTTCGATAACGAACCTTGGCATTTTCTAGTTTTCTAATATATATCTACACACATATGTCCCCCTAACGCAAACTTTTCAATAATCCAAAACAAAAAGTTACAAATGGCCACGTCCAACTTTTGACTTAACTAAATTGAAAAGTGTGGCATCATTTACATATTATATGATTCAGTCCAATACACAAAGCACAATTTTCTTCCTAATGTTGTTTATGTATATTTAATTGTTGTACATTTATTCTAAACTCTTTAACTCAAGTCTCTCCAGATTTGATTGCGGGTTTTGCGTTACAAATTGACTTTTTAATTGACATTTATGGTCATTTTCTTCACCGCAACGGTAATCAATAGTACGAGCTTTTAAGCAATAAATTTTCACGACGACAGAAAAAAAGCGGTTAAGGAAGGATTATTAAGCTACGGTAAGAAAGGACAACACGAACGAAGAACTTGCATTGTCTGAGATTGTGATCTGATATTGCAAGGATTTTTATTCCTCACAACAGTAATGTACTTACGTTTTGATGGTAAAGCACACACTTAAACATAACTACTTGCATTTTGGGTATATTTGTGGTTTTAGATTGACTAGAATTTACTTTATGGAAACTGAAAATAGTATGAGGTGTCTGAAAAAACATTTTTGTTTATTTCCTATATTTCCATTTTTGTGACAATACGACCATTTTTGAAGTAAATTTTATGCAATATTCCTGCAACATTTGATTTATCAACGGGACATGACACTATCAGGACATTTTCATTCAGTAAATAGTTTAGTTTGAATGCTATTATTTAAACTTGAAAAATGTTTCCACCGTCAACATAAATTTAGTCCAATTAAGCTTTGCTTACATTTTTTACACTTTTTATTCATAAAGTGTTTAAATTGAAAAAGTCGTCCTTAATAAAATTGAATTTAATTAAAAGTAGTAGTGCTTAATTAGTTTATTATGTATGCCATTTGGCTCTTATAAGGACAAGTTAATTTAAAATTCAACAACTGCTATCTTCTTTTTCAAATGTCTTGTATAGTTTCATGTCCGTCCCTTCTATTTGCTGGTCTCCTTGTTCCGTTTCCTGTGTTTTTCAGTAATTCAGGATTCGTTATTGATGTTTTTGTTACACGCCAGATGTTCCTATGTTTCTACTTTTCCTGTGTACAACCCCCACATTTTCTTATGTTTCCAATTTTATTTCAGTTTCCTCTGTTACATTCTTCCATGACTTTTCATTCATTTTTCTTACTCCTTTCCATGTTTCTCAGTATTCTTCTTATATTCAAAGACCATCTCAAATCGATGCAGGATTATTATATACATGTTTGCACGTATATTGAACCATTTCTAGTAAACCACTTCGTATAAATTACGTAGTTGGCACACCTGATCTTAATTGAGATACTGTTTTTGGTTTCTTGATAGAAGAGGTTGTCAGTAAGTTCAGATTGACGGTGAAAAGGGTATCGAAACGTAGACGAATACATCAGTTAGAAGAGAACATAGTTTAAATTTTCAATTAATAATTCCCTTCAACTTTATAATGTTGGTGCTACAATTCTTTTTGTACCTATGATGAAACTTATTATCATAGATTGTATAAAGGCTGCAATCGAATTATCTACCTTGAATCCAGTTTAACACATTTAAGTATTGTGAAAAAGCCGTTAGTTAGAGGAAATGTCACATCAATTTATAAAAGCACTTTTCACCTGTCTCGTTTGAAGTAGAAGGCATACGCTACTTTTCCGAATAACTACAGAAAGAACGAAGGCTAACGTGAAAAGTTTTGGAAAACGGACCTTCTATTTTTATTATTGTTTGGGAATTGCTAAGAGTCAATTTCAATTCCGAAACATCTCAGAACAATAAGAAATTTAGAACAAAATCTATACGAGAAAGTATTGTAATAACAAAACTATACATTAATACATAATTATCGCGAAAACTTCATGATATTATTATTTGGCAATAGAATAATTATAATCACTTTGTTTCGTGTTGATATTTTAGTTTTAATATGTTGCATATTATTAGACAGTTTTTTTTTCTGGCAACAGTGTAGGGGAATAAAACTTCCTTTAGGAATGTACAGAATTCGACCCTTTTTAAAGACTNCAAGATAATGTCATCACGCTATTAAACTAATATATTATGGCGGTATTGCAATAACATATAAGAAGATTTGTTATTCTATCACAGGCTTGTCTTCTAACCACGGTCTAAAAACTGGTAATGTAGAAGGGTAGTGTGTTCCAGATTTGTATGTAGAATCGTTTCCGTCCGATCTAAACGGATATGTTGCAATCATAATTGGTAACTGAAGTTTAACTTCCTTTTCTAAACTTTTTGGTTCAATAATGAACTAAAAATACGGAAAAACAAAATGTTTTATATGCGTTGACTTATTGGTTTTATACTTACATAAACATCATAATTAATTTTTATTAAATGACAACCCCTGAGGTTAGTAGGGGGCAGTGGGGGGACATACAATTGCTCGTTTTCCCACTCGTCAACTTCTCCCGGTTTTATTTTACCCCGATTTATCGAAGACAGTTCTCTTCTTTCGGATTGAATTATCTTTCCTCTTGATAAATATTCCACAGTTTCAGTCAGGGCTGCTCTGGTACTTTTAATCGTTACGTTACTGCGATTATAAACACTCGCAGAAATTCCTGTTATAATCAGTATATCAAAATTAATTAATTAACATCTGTGTTGTTTTATCTGAGTTCGTATTTTTCTTTACCTATGCTTTCTCCTGGTACGTAGCCACCTTTATCCAGTGTTACTTTGCATATAACAGGGCCGGCTCCGACACAACTTACCCCCAATTTGTGTTCAATTTCACATCGAAAAGGTTGCTAAAAAGATCTAATGATAATTTAATTATAGCCTTTATTTATCGTAAAACAGAACAGCATTGCTTGTTATGAGCTTTGATAAAATTAATTTGACTTTGTTGTTAATGCCTAATAATTCTTGTGGCTTGGAGCTTAAAGGGCTAATGTCAAAAGCTTTATAATTAAGAAAATTACAGTTTTTGCGGTTTGCATAATGTCCAAGCTTTGGCTTGTGTAGAATATCGCTTTAGCTTAAACTGATACCAATGAATTAATAACGACATTAACTATCATTATCATTTATGTTTCGGTTAATATTGCTTGAAATTGGACGTTTTAGGATATGAAAGAGAACAAGAAAAGGAATCTAATGCAATAGTTGATCCTTTTAGATTCAAGCCACAAAATTATTATAAATAGATAAGTACTTACTGCCAGAACTGAAGGTTCTAAATTTAAGTCGATTGGATTCATAACTATGAAAACTTGTTGATTTTTATGGGTCAAACCGTTGGGTTCACTGAGGGCTGTTTTACAAAAGTATTGAACCCAGCCATGTTTGCCTATAAAAGTCGACGGTAAACCTAAAGGTAATCCTAGCTTAAATGGGAAACTGTGTATTCCTGGAGACAGAACTGTTGGTCCTTCTCCTAAAGGAAAAGAAATCTATACATAATTATAAATAATAATTAACAATTGAAAAGTAATGTTCGTATTGACGAACATACTTTGATTAAAATTCTAGAAAGGAAACTGTAACACCAATAGTATTTTATTTCTACAAAGTTTCATCAGTTTTATTAGGTCATCCTCAAGTAGGTACTTGCCTGGTTCTCCGAGGAGTCTCATTTTGAAATCAATATAATTTTCTTTATCATATAATCGCTCTTGCCTCGACGTTCTCACCCTGACGACGCCTTCTCCAACCACATGAAAGTGAAGACCTGAGGAAATTCTCATTAAATTCTCTGTTTGGACGACTTGAGATATCTCGCAATTGCTTTGTATTAAAATAACTTAAAAGCAAAACGCTAGTTATAACTACAGCTGCCTTTATATGTATGTATTTTAAAGGTATCTGAAATTTTTTAGATTTATAATTCGTGGTACCCACAAAGAATAACTATTTTTTTAACGTATACTAAGTGGGCTTTCAAGGATTACAGTGGGTAGTACGCATATTAGTATTATGGATAATCGAACTGTTACAATAATAATTACATACAATTTAATGTCTAGGAAGTTTAAATTTATTAAAAATTTATGAGATGCTTTGTAAACAAAGAATGATATTTTATTCGCAACCGATTAAATTCCATTGCAGAATAAGGTAATTAGGTAATTTATGTAAGGGAATCAGTTGTTTCTGTTGATGAACACGAAAAATAAACTTGGTGTAGTGGAATGAAAAAGAAATTTCACTTTATCCATATAAGGCAGTTAAACGATTACTAGTTATGGTGATTATTACATAAAAAAAATATTAACGGAATGTAGTCTTCAATTAACATCGATTATTCAATAGTTAAACGATGAAAATAACGGTACCTTGCTTTTGGATTTCGTTTCTGCGATGTTAAATGTTGATGCAGACTTACCGAGTGCGGGTGTGTCATCTTGAAGTTCAATGAGGACTCTTCCTGACAAAAATTGCCCAGGAAAATATAGCAGTGATGTATTGTCAAATAGTATTAGAAATTTTAGTAGTTTTCGTGGCATAGTTCCTTCACACAAATTTTATTTAAACTAGCTTAAGTCATTTGGTTGACAACACTTAAGTGATTTCACTACATGTACTGTTTCATCGTATTCTACCTTCGTCACTTTCGCTCTTTCGAGCAGGTACCAGGTGTGGGGCAGCGTGGGGGACCCATACGTAAAGACTTGTCGACCGTGGTTCACGTCCACTGTTTCCAAGTGTCCATACCCATCATTGAACTCACCGTATAACTATTTTCTCTTTTTGTTTTTTTTTTCTTAAGCGCACCCAACGAAAATCATTTACTTATTTATTTATTACTGATTGGCATTTGTTCGACTGTTTTTTTTCCATTCTGAAAATCCATTCTAAGTACTGGTAAAAAAATTTTTGAAATCGAACGAGTAGTTTCAAAAATTATACTTACCTCTGAATAATATTAGTATAGAGTGCTTATAGATATATATACACCTAAGTAATTTTCGTAAAAATTTTATTGATTAAATTCAATTCAAAAAGACAATACGAAATAAATAGAATTGTTTTTTTTTTTTAACTGAAAAGTAATAAAGAAAATATACTGCACCGAATATAACCTTCCCACTAAGGAAAGCTCGGAGAAATTTAAAAAAGTTTAAGGCGCGAAAACTGTCAATATACTTCGTAGTAGTCTGTTCTCAGACTGAAAGCCTTCATCTCCACTTTCGTTCAGCAGATGGAGCTGGGAGTACAATTTTGAAAATACTTAAGGTGCTATATATGTGTATGAATACTAATAATTAGTTTTGAGGCAATTCAAAATTTTCATATTTAGCCTTTCTCCATTCGAACAGATTTAATAGTTGGAAATAAATATGAGAAAAACTGTGGTCTACGAAAAGCTCAAAGCTCATAATATTGATGTTTACTGTGGGTTTTTAGATTTCTATGAGAAAGAATACTTCGCCAGTCATTTTCATTTTCAAGTTCATAAACCAATGATGGAAAGCCTAGTGAAATATTTTTTCCATGCTTTTCTTATTTGTAATTTACAAAATTTTTTAAATACACATATAATTTTATCTGAAGGTCTAGTCAGAGGCATATTAGAGGCAGAAACGGGAGTTAGGAGGGGTAGAGGTAGATCTAGATTAGATTACTGTTTGGATGTGGGTTGTTCTAGGTTTAGGGAAATGCGAAGTTTAGCTCAGGATAGGAAAGAGTGGAGGTACGTGTCCAACCAGTCTTAGGACTGACGACCCTATGATGATGATGATGTGACGAAATTGGTGCGGCTATCTCTTCTGATGATACGACTCTTTCGGATTTAGTTGCCTAATTAAAAATAAAACTACGTCTTTGGACAGGTTCAACTAAGTAGNGAGGGGTAGAGGTAGACCTAGATTAGATTACTGTTCGCAAATAGTTAAGGATGTGGGCTGTTCTAGTTTTAGGGAAATGCGAAGTTTAGCTCAGGATAGGAAAGAGTGGAGGTACGTGTCCAACCAGTCTTAGGACTGACGACCTTATGATGATGATATAATTTATTTTAAAGTTTAAATATTGAATTATTGGTCTATTTTATGAAGGTAAAATAAATTAAAATCTAAACTTTCGCTGGAATATAACAGTAGCTACTGTTTACTTAATAAATTATTAGTGCAATTACTTAGTGAAAACCTAACATAATTGACGAACTAAAATTTTAATTTCTAACGTTTCAGCGAACGCGTTTTAAATGGTTTGCATATTTTATTGGTCTATCAATTATTATCACCTCAAACGTCCAATCAATGGCTCGTGGCAGTGCTATATAAAACGTTTACCTAAATTGAGTTTTGCATTTTAATATGATAAGTTTTCAATTGTTTTATGATACAATGTAGCATTTCCAACAAAAAAAAAGTCGCGCCGGAGAAAATATAAATTTCTTTTCCGATGATAAATCACAAACGATATTTTGTTGGTAAACTTACTCGTTGGTATCTGCTTGGAAAATGCTGGATGTGATTTGTGTAACTTAGTATAAGTAAATATAAGTAAACATAAAATGACTAAGTGTGTTTGAAGCTGTCTCCTTCGATAACGAACCTTGGCATTTTCTAGTTTTCTAATATATATCTACACACATATGTCCCCCTAACGCAAACTTTTCAATAATCCAAAACAAAAAGTTACAAATGGCCACGTCCAACTTTTGACTTAACTAAATTGAAAAGTGTGGCATCATTTACATATTATATGATTCAGTCCAATACACAAAGCACAATTTTCTTCCTAATGTTGTTTATGTATATTTAATTGTTGTACATTTATTCTAAACTCTTTAACTCAAGTCTCTCCAGATTTGATTGCGGGTTTTGCGTTACAAATTGACTTTTTAATTGACATTTATGGTCATTTTCTTCACCGCAACGGTAATCAATAGTACGAGCTTTTAAGCAATAAATTTTCACGACGACAGAAAAAAAGCGGTTAAGGAAGGATTATTAAGCTACGGTAAGAAAGGACAACACGAACGAAGAACTTGCATTGTCTGAGATTGTGATCTGATATTGCAAGGATTTTTATTCCTCACAACAGTAATGTACTTACGTTTTGATGGTAAAGCACACACTTAAACATAACTACTTGCATTTTGGGTATATTTGTGGTTTTAGATTGACTAGAATTTACTTTATGGAAACTGAAAATAGTATGAGGTGTCTGAAAAAACATTTTTGTTTATTTCCTATATTTCCATTTTTGTGACAATACGACCATTTTTGAAGTAAATTTTATGCAATATTCCTGCAACATTTGATTTATCAACGGGACATGACACTATCAGGACATTTTCATTCAGTAAATAGTTTAGTTTGAATGCTATTATTTAAACTTGAAAAATGTTTCCACCGTCAACATAAATTTAGTCCAATTAAGCTTTGCTTACATTTTTTACACTTTTTATTCATAAAGTGTTTAAATTGAAAAAGTCGTCCTTAATAAAATTGAATTTAATTAAAAGTAGTAGTGCTTAATTAGTTTATTATGTATGCCATTTGGCTCTTATAAGGACAAGTTAATTTAAAATTCAACAACTGCTATCTTCTTTTTCAAATGTCTTGTATAGTTTCATGTCCGTCCCTTCTATTTGCTGGTCTCCTTGTTCCGTTTCCTGTGTTTTTCAGTAATTCAGGATTCGTTATTGATGTTTTTGTTACACGCCAGATGTTCCTATGTTTCTACTTTTCCTGTGTACAACCCCCACATTTTCTTATGTTTCCAATTTTATTTCAGTTTCCTCTGTTACATTCTTCCATGACTTTTCATTCATTTTTCTTACTCCTTTCCATGTTTCTCAGTATTCTTCTTATATTCAAAGACCATCTCAAATCGATGCAGGATTATTATATACATGTTTGCACGTATATTGAACCATTTCTAGTAAACCACTTCGTATAAATTACGTAGTTGGCACACCTGATCTTAATTGAGATACTGTTTTTGGTTTCTTGATAGAAGAGGTTGTCAGTAAGTTCAGATTGACGGTGAAAAGGGTATCGAAACGTAGACGAATACATCAGTTAGAAGAGAACATAGTTTAAATTTTCAATTAATAATTCCCTTCAACTTTATAATGTTGGTGCTACAATTCTTTTTGTACCTATGATGAAACTTATTATCATAGATTGTATAAAGGCTGCAATCGAATTATCTACCTTGAATCCAGTTTAACACATTTAAGTATTGTGAAAAAGCCGTTAGTTAGAGGAAATGTCACATCAATTTATAAAAGCACTTTTCACCTGTCTCGTTTGAAGTAGAAGGCATACGCTACTTTTCCGAATAACTACAGAAAGAACGAAGGCTAACGTGAAAAGTTTTGGAAAACGGACCTTCTATTTTTATTATTGTTTGGGAATTGCTAAGAGTCAATTTCAATTCCGAAACATCTCAGAACAATAAGAAATTTAGAACAAAATCTATACGAGAAAGTATTGTAATAACAAAACTATACATTAATACATAATTATCGCGAAAACTTCATGATATTATTATTTGGCAATAGAATAATTATAATCACTTTGTTTCGTGTTGATATTTTAGTTTTAATATGTTGCATATTATTAGACAGTTTTTTTTTCTGGCAACAGTGTAGGGGAATAAAACTTCCTTTAGGAATGTACAGAATTCGACCCTTTTTAAAGACTGGACAGCATTTTACAAGGGTATAAAAGAGGCAGGAGGCGTTCCCCACACCTTTTCATCAGTATTCTGTTAGAGCAACGCAGTTGTCGAACAGACGCTCTGTCATTCTCGTTCTTCTAAATTTTCTTTTACGCGCGCCTTGGTGAGAAAAAAACAATTTGTAGAATATTTCTCGGTAGACAATTAAGAAAATAGTCAAAGAATTTCAGTTTGTTTAATACAGTTTTTTTTTGTAAAATAAGAATTCCTTCCTTAAACCAAAGGATCAAATGATATCAATGGAATTCTTCAAAGAATTGTGTATTGTGCTTTTAGGATTCGACGGAAATAGTATTAGGATAAGGGGGCATTTTAGGTTTAAAAAATACAATATTTATTTATGTACTAGAAGTATCTGTACAGTTATAAAATACGTGAGTGATATTGTAGAGGAGAAAATCAAACTTGCATGCCGCAGAAGCGGAATATTGCCGGTGCGATTGCGGATGGTTGATCGCTACGTGCCGGTGTCTGATGCCATGGGTATGCATATAAATTACAAACGATTTCCCCATAAAATAACAATTTCCTTCTTTTAAAGCCGTTTCATTCTTCGTTGTATGTAAGACCATAAAACGGCACCAGCTAGCCGTCAAACAGGCGGAAATATGATGACAGCAGTTCTTCCATAGCGGCCTGCTCTGCCGTCCCTAATGTATATAAACATATACATACATATTAGGTGTATCCTCTTTACGTGTATGTATGTATCGTGTACATATACATATATATATATATATATATATATTCACACATTCACGAAGCGTCCCATACAGATGCCCGATCACGGATGTGTTGACGCTAGTGTATACAGCCCGTAATAGAAATCGTGACTTCTCTAGTCGGTTAGCCCAACGGTATCGGCAACGGGGTCGAACAAACATCAACAGGGGAAGAAATGTCGACCGAATTTGTTTTCTTTTACCCACTTACCTTCCCCAATAATACTTATTATAGAAAGAGTAATACCACCGACTTATTTATATCATT